TTCATAACTTATGGGTGTGGGGACCACCTCATAACTTATATAAATATCTAACCACTAGATACACCTGAAACTAATACAATACTGAATGTTAACTGTAATTTAAATTTTTTTAAAATACCAACAAGTCTCCAATTCTCCTTGCACCGATTATAGTTACATTTCCCTTTTTCCCAGTGTTCCTGGTCCTTGCAACTTATATGTGGCACTAATAAATTAAATACTGCATTTCCAAATGAAGCCAAACACCAACTTATTCTTGACATTCTTTTTTCTTCTGATAAAGTCAGAAACATTCTTCTAGCCCACTAATTTCTAAGAGTTAACTTTGACTGTTGCCTTTCCCTTTCCTTCCCTCATATTAAAAAATGTGGTATATCCTAGGTTTCTACTCCTTTCTCCATTTATCTTGCACTCATTGTCATATTTTCTCTCCATTATCCTAATTCTAATTCAGGCCTTCAATAATTGCTCTGTCTTTCACATTTTCTGATAAGCACTGTAATAACAGAGACAATGCACCAAGTGGCTATAAGAAAAACATCTCTCCTTACTTTGAAAAACATCACTGTAATCAGAGTTACACAAGATGGGGCGAAGAATATAGATAATTTCCGGAAGGAAGGACTGCTTAAATGTTTATATGATGTCTGCACAAATTATCACAGAGGAAATGAACTAAACCTTGAAAGATGTTTGCTGTATCTCTTCTTAAAGGTGCATTACAGAAAATCAAAACATGTTTGTACCTATCACTGGCAAATACAACACAGGTGGTTTTTGTTTTGATTATTGTTCATATCAGAATAGCCTGACAATATTATAGCTGAAGAGAAGATGAAGTAGTAAATTTTCTAGAAAAAGCAGAGAAGTGCTGGAGAACAAATAACAAAGGAGGGTATCTACAACCATAGAGGACTCAAAGGAAGACCTCTCTAAAACTTTTGTAAAATGAGTAAGAAAGGAAAAATCTGAAGATTTCAGATTTAATCAAAAATATGATGCGAAACCTTTGATAACCTTCTAGGAGTTTTCTGGAATGGCATGAGTAAAAAACAGAAATCATTTTTTCAATATACTCAGAAAGGAAAGTGAATACCTGGCTTCTAGTCCCATTTTTAGCTAGTGTGTGGCCCCAAGCAGTCAAATAAATCTGTACTTATCTGTAAAATACAACTAATTTTTCCTACCCACTTCACATCACCCCCTTCCCCCAATGAGTGAAGTGGTAAAAATCCATCCTGGTTTCATTCAGATCCTCTTCTTTTCTTTGTTCTGAATAACCTGCTATTAAAATCCCTTCCATGGTCCCAGCTGATCTGAATGATCAGAACATACACAACCCTTCCATCAGAGCTTTAGTGCTATTCTCCCCAGTTGGGTAGCTGTAAGCCAGCTCTACCAGCCCCACACCAAACAGATCATGGCTAATGAGAGCAAGGCCCAGACAATTCAAGCTCCATTTGCAAGGCATGCTGGAGACATACTTCATGTCTCTTCTGGCCTTTTCTCACATCTTAGGAAGGTACAATGCTCCAGACTCAAGTTTTGTTTCCTATTTTTGGTTCTGATTCTATCCACTGGACTTGAAGATTCATCTTGGTTTCTTCAGGTTATCCTTTGGTTCACTCCATGACCTTTGGCCTATAAATACCATCAGCCTTTTACTGCCATTCATTTGAAATCCCTGGGGAAAAAAAAAAAAAAAGGCTAAGAAAATATTAAAAAAAAAACCTGAGCTTAACTTGGATCTCAGTGTCGGTGGAAGAGGCCTTATTGTTTACATCTGCCCTGATCTTGAGCTACTTTAATCCACTCTACTCTCCAGCACCAGGGCTAGGGAGGGGGCCATCCTGCAGAAAGTGAACCTCGGAAAAAGGAAGCTTTAATGCTGTGAGACCTCTCCCAAAACGGTTCCTCGAGTAAGTCTCAGTGTTCACAAGGTGAACCCAATAAAAGAGACTTTAGGCACCCTCTGCAGCAAATCCCTACTCGTGGACAATGGTTTCTCAAAATTCAAGTTTTAAATATAGATGCCATTCAATTATTACTTTGTTCTTCTGGTACTGTTTATACCAGCCAATATGCAAATATGGGCAATTCAGAAAGCAAATGAGGTCCATTCTCTTTTAATTCCTCTTCTATAAAATACTTGGTATAGTTCCTTAATTGTCCCAAATTAAACATTTTCTGTCTTTTTTTCTCCTGCACTGCATAGGCTTTAAATGAGTCCTAAATTTTTTGAGGGGGTTTAAATTTTCTTTTTCTATATCATATGTCCCACCCTGGGCTTTACAGTCTTTATCTTATTTCATCCTCATGCTAATTATATGAAGTAAGAATTATAATTCTTATTTTAAGAGCTGTTAGGTGATTTGTCTAAGGTCACACAGCTGGCAAGTGGTCTAAGCAATATTTGAACCCTGATCCTTCTAATATCAGGTCTCTGTTTTTTTTCATTGTACTATTTCAATTTTGAAGAGAAGAGAAATTCTGCCTTGAAAAAATAATTTTAATGGTGAAAAGAAATAAGATTTTAAACCAGAAAAAGACACAAAGATACTTTAAATGCATATTACTAAGTGAAAGAAGCCAGCCAGATAAGGATACACGCTGTATGACTCCAACTATGTGGCATTCTACAAAAGGCAAAACTACAGAGACAGCTAAAGGATCAGTGGTTGCTAAAGATTAGGGAAGAGGCAGAGATAAAGAGGCAGCGCACAGAGAATTTTTAGGGCAGTGAAACTATTCTGTGTGATGCATATCAGTGTACATTTTTCAAAACCCATAGAAGATGAAATACCAAGAGTGAACCCTAGTGTAAACTCTAGACTCTGTTTGAAAATGACGGGTCAACGTGGGTTCATCAGTTGTACCAAATGCACCACTGTAGTGGGGATATTGATATTGATAGTTGCATGTGAGACAGGAGGTATGTAAGAACTCTGTACTTTCTGCTCAGTTTTGCTGTAAACCTAAAACTGCTTTAAAGAATAAAATCTATTTTTTTAAAAAGTTTCCCAACTAAACAGAAATAGACATCAGAGACTTTATGTTACATCACACCTCACGCTGATACTACGTATCCATGGGTTCTCCACTGGTCTTTCCATGTGGACTGGTTTGGACATGGTGACTGTTCCAAAAGAGAGCATCCCAAACAAAAAAGAGGGAAGTATGTGGCATTTTTATGACCTAGCCTTGGAAGTCACATAGTGTCACTCATAGTGTACTCTATTATTCAAAGTGGCCACAAAGGTCTACCCAGGTTCAGGAGGAAGGAACATGGACCCAAAGCACTGGATGGTAGGTATGTCAAGATTACATTGTAAGCACATATGGAATAGGAGATACTGTTTTTGGCATTTTGGAAAATATGTCACCATAACTCTTGTTATATTTTAGTGTATCTTAAATATCTAGGTATGTATTGAATTTTAATATTTGGTTAGACGTTGCTCCACATCTTTATTTGTGATTGTCTATTTCAGATTGTAAACCATATGATGGCAGGGACAGCCATGTTAAGTTCATTTTTATGAGCTACAGCATAGCACCTCGTACTTAAGAATCGTGGTATATAGTAATACCACTAGTGCTGCAATTGCTGATAGATAGATTCAAATGAGCCATCATTATTTTTTTATTGTTCAAATACATTTGTTTACATTTTCCCACCACCACTTTCCCACCCACCCCCACCCACCCCCACCTCCCACCCTCAATCCTCCCCCACTTCAGCTTTGTCTATGGGTCATTTATACATGTTGCTTGATTTGCCCCTTCCCCTTCTTTTCCTCGTTACTCCTTTCCCTCCTTCCCTTTCATTACTGTTGGTTTGTTTTTTCTTTCAATGTTGCTGGTTATATTTTCCTTGCTTGTTTGTTTTGTTGATTAGGTTCCACTTATAGGTGAGATCACAGGGTATTTGTCTTTTACCCCCTGGCTTATTTCACTTAGCATAATGCTCTCCAGTTCCATCCATGCTGTCACAAAGAGTAGTAGCTCTTTCTTTCTTTCTGCTGCATAGTATTCCATTGTGTATATGTACCATAGTTTTTTGATACACTCATTTATTGATGGGCACTTAGGTTGCTTCTAGCACTTGGCTATTGTAAACTGTGCTGCTATGAACATTGGGGTGCATAGGTTCTTTTTCTTTTGAATTGGTGTTTTGGGATTCTTAGGGTATAATCCCAGTAGTAGAATCACTGGGTCAAAAGGCAGTTCCATTTTTAGCTTTTTGAGGAAATTCCAAACTGTTTTCCACACTGGCTTGGCCAGTCCGCATTCCCACCAACAGTGTACTAGGGTTCCCTTTTCTCAGCGACCTCACTAGCACTGGGATTTCATGAAATTAAAAAGCTTCTGCGTGGCCAAAGAAAACATCAGCAAAATGAAAAGTGAACCAACCATATGGGCAAATATGTTTGCCAATGATACCTCAGACAGGGGTTTATCTCCAAAATATATAAAGAACTAACATGACTCCACTCCAGGAAGACAAACAATCCAATTTAAAAATGGACATAGGACCTGAAACAGACACTTCTCCAAGGAGGAAATACACAGAGCCCAGATACATATGAAAGGATGCTCATCATCACTAGCCATCAGAGAAATGCTAATTAAAACCACAATGAAATGCCATCATTATTTTTTGTATGTGTAATGTGTTGCAGAAGATCTCTACACTAACCAAAAAGACATATAGCATCTTTAATATGCAAGTGAATTTTGTTACAACAATTCAGTCGGTAGCTTGAGAGGAGGAGAACTTGAGTTCTCTCCAGTGGATAGATTCTTGTAAAGCAACAATTGAATCTCACAGGTGGGGGTGGGAATCCTTGCCTTGAAGGAACTATCTTTTTTTTTCTCCACAATCAGTCACTTTTTGTTCACTAGATAATTAAATGTTCCTATGATGAATCTGAGACCTTGATCATGAATGTTTATCTCTTCTGAGAAGTATATTAATGAAGGCAATTGTACCTTTTCAGTTGATTTCATAGGTGGCTTTGATTCTTATGGCTATCAAGGGCCTCAGAAGACATCTCATTTACAACTACAACCTATGTACATGTAAGTACTTTGCTTGGGAGGTTTTCTTCTAGGATACTAAAAGATGGTTAAGTAAACAGTCTTGTGGCACAAAATAGATGGCATGCAACTTTGCTCCAGCTATATACTTTAGTATTTTCTCTCCTATTCATATTGCTTTGACTGGGATAAATTCTAATAACATTTTATTCATAATTATTTGAAAATCTAACTTATCAGAAATGCCATATCTAAAGTTACCTTTAGTCTTATATAAGTTAACTATATGGCTAAAAAAAAAAACCTGTATATTATACTAATTTTTTGAATTACCCTAAAGTTGTATATATTTAAAATGACATAACATTGTAGGTAATTATATGTAACTATGTACAATCCATATGTTTTGGTTTTCCTAGGACAGTCTCAGTTTACATGGTTGTCCTGGTATAAGTATTACCAACACTCCCTATTAATGCTCAATGGTGTTTTCATTTAGAGGATGAATGATAGGTTATCACTCTAGTTATACAAAGCATTAAATAATCAAAACTGAACTATAGTTTATCATTTTTCTGATGTGAAAAGTGAAAATGAAACCAGAATATTAACACTAAAACTCATCAGACCCTTAACTCTAGCACTCAAGACAGCAGATATACAATCAGAGCCTGATTTTTATATCTGTGTTTAGGCAAATTCCCTTGGATAACAACTGATAACAAATTCTATATATCAGCATCAAGTGATATGCTGAATTGCAAGCGAAGATCAAAATAGAAAGTAAGATTCCAATTCATTTTGAAATGTGAGCTTCTCTCTTTGAAGATATGTGTTTGTTGTCGTTGTCCTCCACCATTGAATCATTTTACCTTTTAATATTGTTAGTGTGTAGGATAATAAGTGGATATTTGGAGTATTTCTCCAGAGAGACTAATCTTTATACATACATTTTAAGTTTGTTTTTAAAAAGGGAATGATCTATGCATGATGCCTCCATTTTTCTTCATGCCCCTTGTAGTTCCCTGGAAGCGTTTGGTAACACAACTCATCAGCCAATATGATGTTCTTTAAAGCATCTCCTCTGAAAACAGTACATCACACATCCCCTCTTTACATCCCCACAAACACTGCTCTGATTCTGGCATTCATGACCTTAAGTTTTCCATTCTCTTTTTTATTTTAGAAACCCTACCCCATCTTTCATGTAACCTCCAAGTTCATCTTCCTGAAGTACCACTCTGATCATTTCACTCCTCAGTGCAAAAAAACTATCAATGACTCCCTGTTACCCACTGAACAAAGCCCAAGCTCCCTACCATAACCTGGAAGTCCACTCTGATCTGGCCCAAGGTTTTTTTGAAATATTATCTCTCCTCCTCAGCCCTTAGTAACTTGTAAGTCCCAACCATATGCAGAAGATGTTGGAATATGCTAGAGAAATGTAATGATAAATAAGAATTGACCCCTGTCCTCCAGAAGTTTATAATCTAATGAAGGCATGAATAGTCTGATATCTCCCCTCAACCACTTTTTTGCAGCCAAAAAAGAACTTTTGCCTTCTGCAAATATAACATGTATTTTTTTCCAGTTGTTTATGGTTGTCCATGCTGTTCTTTTGGCACAAACATCCTTTTTTCCCCCCAGATTTGACTCTTTGAGACCCCACTAACTTTCAAATTATGTCTTAAAATATAGGTCCTTTGTGAAACATTTCTTAATCTCTTTCCTCTTCAATTCTATTTTTTTTCTTTTGCCCCATAATACGGTTGTTTTCTATTTATACCATACATTTCCTATCCTTCCAAAAAGACTTGATAGCATAAACAAAAAAAAATGACATGATAAAGTCTCTAAATATTTTACTGTTCTTCTCAATATTATATTATAGCCTTATGTACAGTATTCTATCAAAAAAATAAAGACAAATTATAAGGAATAGTGGTTAAGATGACCCATTGAAGATAGATGGCCTAAGATAAAATCCCTGATGACCTTGGATATAAAACTTTATTTGAACCACTTTATTTATTCGCACCAAGCCTAAGTTTCCTCACCTGAAAAATAGAGATGATAAATACATCATATAACTATTCTGAACTTATGTAAAATAATTCAGGTAGAACATATAAAGCACAGGACATGTCACATAGTAATTGTTTAATAAACATAATTTATTAGTAGTAAGAACGATCCTCATGTTAACTAATATTACTCCTGAAAAGACTTTATCAAGTCACAAATGAATACATACTGTATTTCATTCCCGAAGGACTTCCTCTGTAAACAATGTATCTCATACAATACCAGCCCTCCCCCCATAGCATGTAACAATTTGTTTGTGCTCAAGAGTAAACCAGGACATCTACAAGGCCTGCAATTGATTGCTTCTGACAATAGCACATGACATTTTTAGCACATAGCATTTCATTGTGTTGGTCAATAGGAATGATCAATAAAAATGATCAAGCTACAATAAATTAGGTGTAACCACTTATGTAAGGATCTACTATATTAATAACATAAGAATACTAATTATACATAATCAAGTATATTATTTCAAATCAAGCATTTATAATGTTAATGTCTTTAAAGGGGAGGATTCTGCATATATTTTATCCAGCATTAAATTCCCTGAGGACAAAAGTTCCTGTGATTTTATTAAGTAGACTACTTTAAATGCTAAACCAAAAGTAATAAAAATATTGTTTTCTTCCATATTTCCAGGGGATAGTAAAATTATATGAGCTTTCCAGTCTCACTGTTCATAAAATAAGTTAAATGTTTAATGCAACTCCAATTTAGGATGTTAGACTATGTAACAGCACACCAGTCAAAATATGACTACCATCTCTTCCACAGAACATCCCCAAGGGGCCTCAAACACTAGAACACTAAAATTTTATTTTACAGATGAGGAAACTGAGTCAAATGGAAGGAAAGCAAGGTCACACAGCTTGGCAGTTGTGCAGCTCCAGCTGCCAACCAGTTCTCCAGCCCCCCTTAGTTTAGTGTTCTTTCCAAATTCATAGGTGTACTGTGCGTTTGCTCAGGCATTGCATTCCCTGATTCTTAGTTAATTCTGCTTCTTCACACTAACTTAGCTGCCCATACTTCCACCTGTGCTTGCACCCCGCCCCCTTTTCTGTGTCTCTTTCATTCCCTTTTGATTTCACATTATGCAGTGTTGATGAAGGAGGGCTTTTTCAACTCTGTAGACCTCAAAATCAATCACCGGAGAGCCACTGTCTACTTAAACCCGATGAAAAAACAAAACTGATGCACACATAAACTTCATCCCCTGCGGAGCAGCAGAGACCTGAGCCTCTCCTATATCTTTGCCCTTCGGGGTGTACCTTCTCCTGTCAACCCGCCATAAATAAGTCTCGTAAAGTAAGAGTAATTTAACATCATGGGCCAGTTCAAGCACCCTAACAATATTATATAGCAACTGCAAGTAAAAGCTGTTCCTTAGAAGGAGAGCAAATGCTTAAAAGCAACGTGCAGTTTTAGCTGTGGGGCTTCCATTGTCCCCGGCAAATCTTCTGTGGCGGGGAGCCTGGACGGGGCCTTGAAAACACTGCCGGACTGACTTCCACTCACAGCCGTGTGTCCCCCACCCCCACTGCCGTCAATGAATAGACAGTCCTCTCTTTGTTTCCTTTGTTACATTCTTGGGCAGTAATTCTTCAGATTACCTGTAACCCATCTAAAAAGAAAAGTCATTATTTTTTTTCTTATAATTTGGTAAACCTCTTGGACACCAGCAGTAGATATGAAGTCGCTGCACAGAAACATTCCCACGTCCAGAAGTTAATTTTCTAACGGAGTAGCTGCCTGACCACCACTGACCTGTGTGCCATAGCAAGCAGAGATCCGCCGGGGCTCCGGCGGTATCAGCTGTGAGAAAGTCCTAGGCTCTCTTAGACGGCATTTGAAAACACTGCATTTTTTCTGGCAGCCTAATTGTACTGCAGTACATATTCATTTTATTTGTACCCCGAAATGGGTTTTAAATTACATAAGTAGCTCTCTATCCAGTAAATCACCATAAGTAACCTCTATCTGGGAGGTTGCACTGAGAAAAAAGGAGAGGAAAATTGTCTATTTAAAGCACAATTGGGCTTGGACTTTTTGAGGAGGGGTGGGGGTGGGGATTGCTCTTGTTGCTTGGAGAGGTGAGGAAAGGTGCTGAGCTCTCCCACTCGATTAAAAACATTCTTTCTCTCTTTCTCTCCCCCCCCCCCCGCCCCCTCTCCCCCCTTCTCTCTCAGGTCGAAATAAAACAGATGGCTTCATAATGTCAGCTCCTGGACCTTACAAAATAATTTGTTTCGCAGGGGCCTCCTGCATTTTATGAAGAGCAAGAAACAATGAGTTTAAGTATACATACATATTAACAAAACAAACACAAAGCCTCACGCCCACTGGGACACACACACACAAACTTACACTGAGGCACACACCAGTTCCACTTGGCCTCCTCTTTCTAACTGAAACAGACAAATATGCAGGACATGCCCATCTTGGATTTCCAGAAAGCAGGCTTCTTTCGTCCAGACCTTTGGAAAATTCGAAAGGAGACGTGCTGGGGCCACCTGCTGGCCATCCCTAACTCCTCCACAGCTCAGCCAGTGGGCCTCTGCAAGCTGAGAACTCATCCAGGGCCCGGTAGCTTCAGAGTCCTGTCTTCTGCACTCCATACGTCTTGATAGCACCACGGCTATGTAGGCAACAAAATTGCAAAAACAAACAAAACATGCCATGATGACTTTGTAACCCAAGTCTGAAATGGCAGATTGTTTGCCCTAAAGGCTATACCGTACATACTTGCCTTAACCCACCTACGTTGTGCGCCCAAAAATCTCAGTGCAGGCATCCCCAAGTCACTTCCTTTAGGCTAACACACTGCTGTTAATTCTGAATGAGTTTGAGTCCGTGTTTTATGTCAGGAAACAATACTGAGTAACCCAGCGGCTCCAGTCTGTGTACGAAAACTGCCAGCTGTCAGCAAAGTGCTTTACCATTGAGCCTCCGTGGTGGCCA